GCATTCCAGACTCATACTGAGGACTCGGGAGCATTCCAGATACGAGCTGAAGGCTTGGTAGGAATTCCAGACTTGTACTGAGGGCTCGATGGCATTCCAGATACGAGCTGAGGGCCCGGTAGGCATTCCACACTCGTACTGAGGGCCCAGGGGGTAGTCCAGCTTGTAAAGCTGTGGACCCAGTACATGCTGTTCTGTTCAGTTTGTTATGATATTTTATTGTTGACGTGGTTATGTGGATTGTATGTGTATCGGTATTTTGGGGGTAACTCACTAAGCTTTTGGGCTTATAGTTCAGTGTTTTGTTTCAGGTACTTCAGGAGATCGTGGCAAGGCAAAGGCGTGATCGTACCGCTCCTCATGTTCTATGATTTATGTGATATGGTTCTGGGGGAATACTCTGATGCTTAAACTATTTTGAAAACAAATGGTAATAACTTAATGGTTTTAAATGTTTTAAAAAATTTTAAATTGGCTTGAATTTTTCAGGTGTTACATATTTGGTGTCTAGGTAGTTCATGAGATCGACCTTGAGGATATTTGTTTTTGGTTGTTGTTATCCAGATTTTTTGTAAGGTGAGTTATCTCATTATATTACGTGTTACAGTGTATATCCTTGTATGATAGGATATAAGGATTGTTAGGTTCGGGTTGTATGAATGGACTTGTATTGTATTTTGTATGATTGGTTGTTTGTTATATGATTTATTCATATGCTTGTATGAGGAGTTGACGGTTGAACGACAAAAGGACGTGAGCCTATAGACACGTGTTGATGGCGGAACAACGACAGCTTGTGAGTAAAAAAACACATGTTATCATTGGAATGATGAGAGGTATTGATCCATTTTTTGAATGTATTGCATATGTATTATAATATATGGTATTTTGAGGAAATAACTACGCTATGTGCTTACAGTTGTGGATTAAATGTTTTTCAGGTTGTTCTTCTAGCAATGGGAATGCTTCACCTTGACCATGACACATACACATCTCCTATCTATTATGTTGTTTTGGTTTTTTCATTTTTTGATACATATAACTAGCTTCTACTTTATAATGATCTAAAACTTTTGGTACTTGAGATTTTTATGAAATATGGTTTGGAAGGTTTAGTTCATAATAGAAAAATGAAAATTTTGGTTTGGGATTTGGGAAATTATATTGATGCATGTTGTTTAGTGGTAAGCATGTATGTGTATGTGTGTGTGTGTGTCTTGAATAGGCCCGCCCAGACGGTAGGCAACTCGGACGATCTGTGACAACTCGACATTTCGAAACAATATATTGTAAAACCAGTCAAATTTAGGTCAAAATATAAGTTTCCTAAAATCTTATTTGGGTTAAATCAAGTGGTAGGAATCGTAACAAGGTTTTCATACATATAAAGAACACAAAAATCCGAGTTATAACGAAGAAGTTATAACCATTCTAAAATTCCTGACAAAACCGGCAACACCGATTAAATGAAAAACGCAAAGTTTCAATACAATATTTTTAGCCTTAATTATCTAAATGAAAGTTGTAGATAACATTAAATCGTAAACGTACGTAAAAAGAACATCCAAATCTGACTTCATATGAAGAAGTTATGATTTTTCCAAGATCCGGATATAGCAGTAGACAGCTAAAAACTCGAAATAGAGATCGAGATACTTTTGGCCAAAACAACCTAAATGAGAATCTAACGTCTCAACAATAGTGGTGCAACGATGAAAAGTTTGACGAAAATGGACATCGGATGAAGAAGTTATGGATTTTTAACGGAATTTTCGTGTCCCGGCCCGTTAAAAATAAATAATTAAAAATAAAGTCAAAATTAGCCAATGAAGTCTAAACTAGAGTTGTAGAGCATATTTTTAGCTATGCGTGCATATAAAGAACGTCGAAAACGGAGCTCGTATGCGAAAGTTACGGATTTTACAAGTTCGAGGCCCGAAATCCGAGGTTGTCAGGTTTGCCACGACGTGGCAAAGTTTTGCCGCGACGCGGCAAGTGACTGAGGGCATCCAATCAATGGAAGAGGATAAGACTTGATCCCCACAACGTGGCCAGCCTTAGCCACGATGTGGCACACCAGAAATACCCTTATAAATAGATTTCAAGGGCTCCGGGTTTCATTGCTCAGTTCCCTTTTTTCTCGCGCCGAAACTCTGCGTTTAAGCCCCCGAGACCCTCCCAAAGCCCCGGTTTTCACGTTCAAGTCCCGAAGGAAGGTTTTGTATTCCCGAGATTCCCGAGATTCTTGAGTATCTTGAGATATTCCCGCGTTTTCTACTCTTTCTGTCGAAGTTCTGCTCGATTCTCCTCTCGACTACTTCAAATCAACCACTTCAATCAAGTGAGTTCATACCCCTAATACAATGTTTTAAATGATTTTAAATGCTTTAATGGGGGAGGGGGGGGGGGGAATACAAGTAGAAAACAACATGTTATTAAATCACTCATATGTATTTTATAATTGTGTTTCCATCCAGCAGATTTCACATACTACAAAATGTGATGCATGAAATGGTTTTCTGTCTTAAAATACTTTGTTATCAAATGTATTACTTTTGAATTGTTTATTTAAAATGACATCAAGTCACTCTTTATTATTGTTCAAAACTCTTAGATGTCTTACAAAACCATTTTTACATTCTTGAATAAAACTATACTTATACACGTATGTTCTTATATATGTATTGAGGTTATAGTTTTCATCTTTCATTTAGTTTCCCACACTCTTGTGTAGCAAGGGTGTATTAACCAACTTGAACAACCAATTACCTTCCAATTAATTATCATAGGGATAGTTAGAAGATACAAAACATTATTCCTATTACAAGGAATCACACAAGAGTCAGTTCATTCATGAGTCTATACCAGTACATTACATGATACATGAGTACGTTTACATATGCTTACATGATACATGAGTACGTTTACCTATGCTTACATGATACATGAATACCTTACATGATTACTTTACATGAATACTTGTATCTCAATTCACGAGGATGATTTATTAGTACCTTCTGTGTAAATTGTCCTGCCTATCCCAGTTCAACGGGATGTCTAGACGAGACTAACCATTCCGGAGCCCAGCTGTTAGCACTAGTGGGTGATGAACATCTACGGATGCCTACGGTTACTACTTATATTAGGAGTCAATTACGGGACTAACCATTCCTCGAGCCTACTGTTCGCTACAGAGGTTGATGAACATCTACGGATGTCTACGGTTAATACTTATATTAGGAAAACGTTGACGGGACTAACCCTTCCTCCGCCTTGCTGCTGCTACAGAGGACAATTGGACAATCTTCGGATGTTCATTAGGTTATACATTTCGCAAATCGCGATGCCGTGTTAGTCCTAGTACCAAAGGATAACACTTACATGATTCTATTTTTCCTATTACTTTATTTTGTGACATATTCACATAAACGATGAGTTAAACTAAGTACTGTTTGTAATAGTCAAAAAGAAGGAAAAACTACATTGTCATAACAAAACATTCGGGTCTTGGTAGAAGACTACATTCCATACTAGTAGGAAACATGAGATTTTCTAGGGTTTTTCATACTTATATCAACTGTTTATTTAAATATTTACATGGCGTTCATAACAACTTTTCAAAACAAGACAACGACACTTAAATACTTATGAATTCAGCAGCTTTAGGCTGATACTCGCTTTCAAAATAACTTGTATTCTCAGGTCACCAGTAAACAGGTACGATGGCCAGGTTTTGAGAAGACGGAGCTCAGACAGGACTCGTCTTTTATTTTGATTATATATTTTGTTGTCTTATTACAATGAAAGAACACACACATATTAAAACTTTACTTATAATGCAATGGATGATGTTGTTGCTTGTTTACTACTTTACATTGTTGTGATACTGTACATGACGTCCTCCACCCCGGAACGTTTCCGCCGTTCTTGGTTTTGGGGTGTGACACGATCGCTCAGGGCCCATGTCTCTAAGATGCCTAAAATTCCTAGAGTGTATGATATAATTATATAGATAATTTTTTTTTAACTTATCTTAAAATGCTAGAAGTATTTTTCTTCACTACTAGAAAATAGCCCTTTAATGACGCGCAAACAATGACACTCGCTGATAGAGGATGCGCATTTGTGTGTGCCCTAAAAAATAATGTCAATTTTGTAAAATTTGAAGGATAGTAGACACGCATTTGTGCGTGCCCTAAAATTAGTGTTAGAAAAGAAAAAAAAAAGAAATGCGGAGGGAGCCTTTCATAAAATGTGCGTTCTCTAAATGTGTTGCTTTATAATTTTAATGAAACACGCGTTTTTAAGGCGGGATTTCACCCACCTATTGAATCCCAAAAATTAAACCCCCCGCCTCTTCCAACTAGCAAGAAAAAGCCCTAGGGCCTTCGTCTTCATGGTCGCCGCTTCAGAGAACGATACTGTTGATATCTCTACCGTAACAACAACCACCATCAATATATCCAAAAGCACCAGATCCTGCCATTACACCTCAAACCATCTTCCCTGCAAACCATCGACTGCTATCTCACTTCACCTTTCTTCATCTAACAGAGCAGAAGGAAGAAGGAGATGGCGAACATAAAAGGGTCGAATAACAAAATCACACGAACCGATATTGATATTAATTCTAGGGCTTTTTAAGACTCAAAACACTCTCTCACTCAGTGCTCTATAGCATCGATTCGGCGACCTGGCCTCACCTTCCGGCAACCCCTTGCTCACTTCTCCTCATTGACGATCTCATGCTCACCTGACCTCAAATTCCTTTGTTTCAATCTTTTGCAGAAAGCCCAAATACATGCTCGCCCCGTTTTTGACGCTCAGAAATGATCAAGGGAAAGTGCCTTGGTATGTGAGAAGATGTATTTTTGGGAAATAGGGGATTTTGGTTCTACGAGTTCTTATAACCCTAGGAATCAAGAACCCTGTATTCTCACACCGGATTCATAGTTGAAGTCTACCGGAGACTCGGAGAGGAAAGTGTACGGATGAGCCCAATGGGTCGGGGAATAGCAGAGGAAGCGCTAGTCCTTCTTCGTAAAAGACTAAGTGATCTCAATTTCATCTTCTCCCTCTTCTCCTATTGTCCCGACAGCAACTACAGGTTTGATTGACGCTTATTCGAATTTTCTATATATCTTCTAATTATATATACGTGAATATTATAATCCATTTTTTTTCTCGTCCTCCATTGTGAAGTATTTAAGCTCTTTTATTAGGGTGTCAATGAAAGATGAATCAGATTCAGAAGTATCACAAAGCTGAAATGCAGCACGAGCTCCTTCAATATCTCCTGTTTTCTATTTCTATACACATTATTTTTTAAAATTGGTAAGCAATGTGGTTTTTGTTGTTTTTGGGTAATCTGTTACACTGTTTCTTTTGCATTGACTTGGGTATCTCCTCTTCAATTGCTATCTATATAAGTGTGTGTTTGTTTATTTGCTTAATTTTATTATTAGGTAAGAGCAAGGGAAGCAAAGCTTAATCTTGGTTGTGGAGAAGGAGAAGGGAATCTGCTTGAAGGGCAGGACATCCATATACATTTCCCAGCAGGAGCAGCTCCAAAAGATGCTTCATCTATATCCCACTTTGAAATAATAGCAAATTAGCAAACATATATGCAGAAACAACGAAGTGTTTTTGTAAGTATAATATATTGACTACATTTTGTTGATTTTGGACTCTTTGTATTTGCAACATCCATAAATCTGTACTTAAATCCAAAGGTTCAATCAATGAAGTTAATCAAATTGCATAGGTTGATGATCCACGTGTGGTGCTAATCAAGCTTGCAGACCGTCTACACAACATGAGAACCATGTATGACTTGTTTCCATATCTACCATGAATCTTTGCATTGCATGATCCCGACAAGAAAAATATTTCTGATAATTCCATTTCAAACTTGAGTGATTTTAATTTCACTGTTACTTCTCTTGTTCATTGGTTGGTAAAGGTCTTGGAAAGTAGAGAAAATTCATTCTTTTTTTTTTGTCAAGGGAGGTTTACCACTCTATTCAATAAGTTATTCACTCACTGCAATGCTTTAACTTACAGTTTACACTCTCTTGCTTTCAGTTATGCTCTACCTTCGGGCAAGGCTAAAGATGTAGCACAGGATACTTTGGTCATTTGGTGCTCTCTTGCTTACAGATTGGGCTATTGGGCTTTAAAAGCTGAACTTGAAGACCTCTGTTTTGCTGTTCTTCAGGTCAGTGGTTTCTACACTATAAAGCTAATTTAGTGATGAATCATGAATGTGTTCTAATGCATGATATTTATCTCAAGTGTTCATTCTACGCAACTAATGATCGAATCATATGTTGCATGTGCTAAAATAAGATTCCAACTAATACTTGTAGTGTGTCAGCCTCAGATCTTCCAGGAAATGCGATCTGACCTGGCCTCCTTGTGGACACCCAGCAGCAGCAGTAGCAGGGTAGGCAACCTGAGAAGACTATCAGCCAAAAGTAGCTCAAATCCTGAGTATGAAGCATCAACAGAAGATGTCGTAGTCAGCATGAAGGTAATTCCCCCTCATTTCTTCCCCTTATATATATATATATACACTACTGGGTGTTTGACTTTCCATTATATATATTTAATTAGGATATGAATTGGTGACTCCTTTTTTCAACCCACAGGATCTTTTGCAGGCTGTTATTCCATTTGATCTCCTGCTTGATCGAATAAAACGTATTAAATATATTCAAGATCTAGGGTCATGCTCAGAGGTCCAAACAAAACCAAAAGTTGTGAGGGATGCTGGGATTGCCCTAGCATCTCTGGTTGTTTGTGAGGAAGAACTAGAACACGAGTTGTTTATATCAACCTCGTAAGATCATGTGAGATAGATCTTCAGCCTTCAGTCTTGTTTACCCTGCCTCGACTCTGGTGTGCTTGTCATTCTTACCTGTGCAGCTATGTTCCTGGAATGGAGGTAACCTTATCTAGCCGCCTTAAAAGTTTGTACAACATCTATAGTAAGGTAGGTATAAGTGATCTCCCTAAATAATCTTAGAAAGAATACATGATTCAGTTATGTAGATGATTATGCTAATATTTCTCTCAGATGAATCGTAAAGATGTGAGCATTGATAAAGTATATGATGCACGTGCACTGAGAGTAATTGTTGGAGATAAAAGTGGAACTTTACATGGACAAACTGTCGAGTGTTGCTACAGTCTTCTAAATATCATTACTTTATATAAGTAGCATAAAATGGATAACTACATGCTAAAACTTATTATGCCTAGACAAGAAGAAAAAAAAAATCTTACTCAATTTATAAGTAAGTGACAGATGTGTAATATAAATAAAAGTTGTTTGGTTCATCTTCCGCAGGCTTTGGACACCAATTGATTGCGAGTTTGACGATTACATTGTCAATCCAAAGTCAGGTGGATATCAGGTAAAGATCTATCTCACTATACTTTTTTGTATGCTGCTGATATTAGGTATACCTATTTTATATTTGTGTGAGTAATGCATGCCGTTTCCTTCTTATCTCTTCTTTTTGTCAATGCCCACAAATTCTGACTCTCATTTTATATGGTCTCTGCATACTGCAGTGCATGGTCCAGAAAACTCACCCTTGGAAGTCTAAATAAGAACACAGGTATACAGTATATATATATATATATATATATATATATATATATAAAACAAATTTTTTTTAATAGAGCATGCATGAATATGTTGAGCATGGAGTTGCTGCCTATTGGCTTTACAAAGAAGCTGGTAATAAGTTGCCTACGAAGAGCAATGTAATTGGTTCGGAGATTACATCATCCTCATATCGATGCGAAAAATGATGTCGGATAAAGAGTTGGTAAGTTTTATAATTTTGTTTACTATAAATCTCTCAGGGGCATTTTGGTAATTTTTCACGTGCAGGTTCGGAGGCTATTTGCTTGTGAAACAATGGGTTGTTATATATTTGTTGATTAATTAGAGTTGATTAATGAAGTTATATATGTTGCATGTGAATCGATACCAATCAGGTTGTTTTTGAGCCCATATGAACTAACACCAACGCATAAGAATATTAAGATGAAATTTTGTTGATTATAAGAAGATGAAATTTTTGTGCATTAACATTTGGTTTATGCAGGCATCAACAAAGATTTTGGCACGCCAATTGTGAGGGTTAGACAACAAATAGCCAACCTACAAAGTAGTCGGGCTCAAATGAGGGGCATAACAACACATACATAGGTAAATTTTCAAATGGCAACTTGTTTCTTTTTTGTCATAAATAAATTATACCACATGATTGACTTTCTATGGTTTTAACTTCTCCCAGGCATTAGCTGCACACTCTTCTGTGGCTGTTGGGATGAAAGGTGCTACCAAGGCAATGGCAGCAATGAATAAGGTTGGTTATACAGCAATATATATATATATATATATATATATATATATATATATATATATATATATATATATATAATGTCCTGGTTAGTAAAAATTTGTAAGTATAATGCTATACAATGTCATGAGATTATCAATGTAGCCCTACACTACACTTTTCTGAGGAAGTTAATCCTCAACTACTTTTTTTACCACTGGCATATTCTCAAGTCACTAGAAAACGACCTCTTTATTCTCAACTGCATGTAAACCACATTTTACATGTCATATTTTAATTAACAGGATACACTATTAAGTGTTATGTGTTAATCTCCTATATAATGTTTTCATGCAGTTTTGAGACTTTATGGAACTTGGATCTGTTATATGGTATCTTTAAAGAAGTGGTCAAAGGTTTGACTTCTATTATCTAGTTGATGATCTTTATGTTTTCATGTTTCTTTTTATTCCTTCTTTCCTCCATAGTCCTCCTTGCAGATTTCTGTAAACCCTAGAGGAATTCTGTCACCACTTCCTTCACAATCCTTCTACGATTTCCAAAATCGTTATCCTTCTGATTCAAAAGACACTGACATGGATCTTCCAAGTCTAGCTATAGGTATATGTTTTTCTTAATGAATAATGTAATCATATGTATGAATATGAAATAAAGTTTGTTATTTAGTATGTAATAATCATGTATAGGGAGAAAACAACTTCTATTGATTTGTTTTATCTTTCTAAGGATCGATTATTTGAATGATATTAAATTTTATGCAATGGATTGTATTTTTTGTATATAGTATTTTATTTTTTGTTATGAGACATTAAATGAAAATTTAATTTGAAAATTAGTAAATCTATAAATAATATTTTTTTTAACATTTAAAATTACGATACGTAAAAATGTGTGTCATCTTCATTTATGACATGGCCTTTCTTGACAGGGGCTTCCTTGATATGCATTGCGTGTCATTAACACACGCGTCGTAAGGTTACGACGCGCGAATGCGTGTCGTCTTTCTTTAAGACAGGGCCTTCCTTGATACGCATTGCATGTCGTAAACGCGCGTTGTAATTGCGCGTCGTAAATGAGCGTCGTAAATGCACGTCGTCTATAGAGGACGCGCAAAAGCACGTCGTCTCTCTTTATGACAGGGCCTTCCTTGACGCGCATTTGCGCGTCGTCTGAGCCTTTTATGACGCGAAATGAGCGTCGTAAAAGGCTGTTTTTCTAGTAGTGCTTTAAATTAGTTTTTTTTTTTTTTTTATAATGATATGACCTTTTTTTATTATATTTATGACTTTGTGGGGCCAATTTTTATTTTCACCACGGGCACATTATATTTTGGACCGAACCTGGTCTTGAAGATATTTGTAAGTTTGTGTTCATGAAGATTTTCTTGAGTATATATGTGTTCATGAAGAACAAACCCATATGGATGGTGAAGGTTGGGAGGGAGGAAGGGGAAAGAGAGAGGGTTTTCTTTTTTTTTTTTTTAATTTTTTTAGTCGAAAAATAAATAAACAATATACTAAAAAATATAAAAAGAATAATAAGTGGTAGAAAAGTCATTTTATATACAATAGGACAAATCAAGGAAAAAAATGAAACCACAAGGACTAAGCATGAAGTGGCTATCACAATGGTCTTCATGAGCTATAAATCTCAGATCTGAATCTTCCCAAGGTCTTGATGGATAAGGTTTCCAACTTTATCCATTACGACATCCCAATAAGTCAAGATCTCAACTCTTGAGCTCTTAATCTGTACTAACCCAAGATTCATGTACATCCAAATGCATCCCTATGATTCTATCATATGAGATTTCAGTCCCTAAGTCCATGAGAATGATCCTTGAAGCCATGTGGCACTTTCGTAATTTGAGCAGGATGAGTACGCTAAGCGTATATAACATTCCAAAATATGGTCCCAAAATTTCATTTTCTTATAATAGATAAGATACTATTTTCAAATATCAATCATTCAACATAATAAAACCAATGTATCAAGTGTTATCAAAATCAGAGTGAATGTCAAATGCAGAACTCTACTAGTGTGTGAGATGCAGTCAACTCGAGCTCTTCCACTTGGAACTGGAAGTACCTGAAACATAAACTAAAAATAGTAAGCACAGAGCTTAGTGAGTTCCCCCAAACTACCGCATACCATACATAAAATAAACATATAGTGGGCGCCGCCCTGTAATTGGGCCCCACCCATCATCGAGCCCCACTCAGTAATAAATTGGGTCCCACCCAACATACATATATCATATATCAAATAACACATACATATGCAATAATCACATAGATACATAGTATACAGATAGTCATCAAGCCCTGCCCAACATCGGGCCTTAGCCCGGAAAGCATATAAACACCTACACATGCAAGAGTCACAATGACAGCTAGCATACGAACATAGCACAAACATGGGATGACATTGGTGCCTTCGACCCGCGAAACCCAGTGAGGAGACTTACCTCAATAAGTCAACTGAAATGGATGATCCCTGATTGTTGGTCATACAACTCCCTGAGATAACAATTTCCCAATAAAAGCTAATTAACAAAGGGATCTATCTTATTAACCAAATATACCTACTTGGGGTAAAAGACTATTTTACCCCTAACATAAGTTGGTCTTAAGTCACAACCTATAGCCCAAAAGACAAACAATCCAATAAAGCCCAATATATGGCCCAATTTCCAATTGGTCCCAAATCTTTTCGCATGGGCTTTAGCCTAAGGCCCAATAATACTTCTCTAGCTCAATGGTCCAATTCCAGATAGTCCACTATGGCCCAAGTCACCAATCCATGAATGTGACCCAAACCAAGTCCCAAACAATGCAAAGCCCAATTCAGTGAGTACCCGGGGCATACTCAATTGTACGCTAAGCATACAGGTTGCATGGATTGTACACTGCACGTACGAGCTTGTACGCCCAACGTACTCTTCTATTAAGCCATAAACTCAAAAGAACTTGTACCCTTAAGACATGATGTTCCAAACTGTAGTGTGATTTAATCGAGTTTGTAATATGAGATCAGAGTTAAGAAAGAATTAAGAACACAAGATCTGAATATAATCTATTTGGCTCAGTTACGATTTCAAGAATATAGAGAACATTCAAAGAGTACAAGTTGAATGCTAAAAGCTGCCCTCTAACTCTAGTATTCATCCTATATATATATATATATATATATATATATATATATATATATATATATATATATATGGGACTAAGACACTTACGCTTCGACACAAAATGCCCTTATAATAAACAACATACAAAAAACCTTCGAAAATACAATGACTCAAACTAAATTTGACACCTCACAACACTTTCAAACTCAACATTCTCCCCCTTTGTGAGAAGTGTCAATTTTATGTCATCAACATCTGAGCTGCTTGATGCATCGTCCTTCGTATCTCTGAATACCAATTTATTATCTTCTTCACTTTTGCCTTGTCACCATCATTGATTTTCTTACAACTAATCATATGACAATTAAATTCATATAGTGAGAAGTTGTATATCTTTCCACATCACAGGCTTGAAATAAGAACTTAGTATTCAATCCTTTCTAGTTCTTCCCAATAAATACTACTCCTAGGGACTTCAAAAAAATTTCACCATCAACAGAAATCCTCAATTCTGCTTGACACTTCAATAAAGATTGAGGCACTAAGATTTTTTTGCCAATAGGCAAAGCTAGTTCAACATCAGTTAAAGCAATATATTCGAAATAGTTATCAATGAATAACTTGATGTGAGCAAATCTGATCAAGAAATATTCTTTGTTGGTTAACTGAAGCTTTGATACATCAGTTCCCTTCAGAATTCATGAACACAAATTAAGTCATGAATATTCATCAAAGGGAAGTCAGCCACTGAGAAGTCGAAAGCTATGTTGTTTGCTCTGATAGCATTAAATCTATAATTCTACAACACTCCTTCGGACAGTTAATCCTTGGAAATGTTGAGAACCCAAATTATCTTAACCAATGACCAAATCTCCTCTTCCCTCTTTCCCAGAACCACGTGAGATAGAAACTTCATTCTTTTGAATTCTTCTCTGTCAAATTTATCAGCAATCTGATACTGAGAAGCTAAGAACATCATCTTCTTAACAGGAAAGTACAACTGGTTGAAATCAGTATTTTCTGTGGCAAAACTCTTCTTTGGAACTTTTTCAAATTCATGCATTTCTTTAGTGACCACTAAATCTTCGATATTCTCATAACAATAGTGCTTTGAAGGATCTCCCTTGTCAAGACCACGAGGGTCGTTTGCCCTTTGACGTATTATACTTTGAATTTGCCTTTGCCTCTCAATTTCCTTTTCAACTACAACCTTCTTTTCTTCTGTAGTAGGTTCTGTAAAAATACATTTTCCTTTCTTTTTCATCTCTTCGGTTGTTGGAGGTGGCTTAGAAGAACTTGAACCTCCAATACCAGAACCAATAATAACACCTTTCGATATGGGCTTTGTTGTTGTTGTTGAAGTAAATGTAGATGAAGTCTTTGGTAACGAAGTTAGAATTTGAGTAGTAATGACTTTCCCATCAACATTCACATCTTCATCTCCTTTTGAAACACCACTACCTCCCATTCTAGACTTTGATCCCATGCTCATGCCAAAACTAACTCCTTCTCCCCCTTGCATTCCTATGTGAATAGGTGGGGAATCTATTGACATCAAATTAATGGGCTTTGCAAGAGGAGCTAACTCAGCCTTTAGTGTGGACTCCAAAGATTGAATTTTATGATTAAAAGATTTCAGAGTGAGAAATGAAGAAGATGAATAACTAGTTGTTGAAACTAATCCCTTTATATTGTTCAATGTATCTTCGATTTTTGTAAAACATTGACCGTCAATTTCAACTTTCTAATCAACTTTATTGAGTAACGGCTGATACTTATTAACCATCAATAATATCAACGTTGGTGTGAAGAGAAGAATAATCACTAGTAATAGCGACACTTCCTTCTCCATATCAACCCTTAGTTCCTCAATCTTTGGATTTACATCCTCACGAACCTTTTTAACATCTTGAAAAAACAAGATGTGTCTTTCTTTTGCAACATCTTGTAACTCCTTAAGGGCTCCATTGAAGGTCGAAGATTGAGCCTTGACATGGTTCTCATTGTTCCTGTCCATCAGATCAAATTCATTGCATAGTTTACATACATTACTACTACTACCCTTGTTTTTGGATAAACTATAATAGGTATAGTTTATGATACACTATATAATATATACATTATAAAAGGGTACATTTATCCGAAGAGGATTTTCATTACACAACACGTAATTCCGTTAATGACTTTGTGAGACATTCGCTTCACTTTACAAATAAGTCCTGTATTGTAACCAGAGTCTCTTGGAGGGAGAGCGTGATAGTTGTATATAGATCTATATTGGGTTTGACAAACCCACATCTTAACTGCATGCAACAGTTAGACCGGCAGGTCTGGGGTGACAAATGTCATAAACATTTCTGACGCCTGAAGAACGTCGTTTCATGCCAACTAGGTCATAGCATGGTTATAATAAACTCACAGAAAGTATTAACAAACATAAGAATTTATGGGAATTTCATTAAATTCAAATGCGTTTTTGTCGAT